GAAACATTCATTTACAACTTGTATACTTGAAGTATCATAGTTATAATGACTATTACCGAAAGAGAACGATATATAAAGAGTGAGGTTGCGCGAGAAGCCTTTTTTATTCAAAATGGAATAGTCTGAATGGATCTCGTTGCTATGTGTGAGTATCGTAGAGACGCGTTTTTAATTAAAAGAATATACATACATACAGTTCTCGATTTCGCTAAGAGAGATCGGTAGTATACACAGTCTATCTCTTATCCGTTCCTATTAAAATCATTTAGTAATGATGCCGTATATCTCGCTACGCGAGATGTGCTCGCAAATGTGCTCGCCACGCGGTTTGTCCCGACGAGAGAGAAAACGCGCCGACTCTTCTCGTTCGTTTATTACATCTATCGCGGCGATTGACGCAGACTGTAAATTATTGCTTCGAATGCGAAATTTATTTGCGTACGTTAAACGATCGATCGGACTCGTTCGACATCCGTATTCAATCTTCTTCCTGTTTCGAAAGACTTCGTTTGCCCCTCCCTCCCTCCGTCCCTGCCTACCTGTCTGACTGCCCCCGGCGGTGCTTGCCAAGTATTGCTAACGATTGTAAGACTGTGTGTATCCTATTACCTTCCCGTTTCTCCGCCTCCCTGCCGAAAAGATCGTTGTCATTCGAAGGAACTGATCGCGCGTCAGTGGCGAAGTACAACCGTCGATCGGTTTTGTTTTTCTTTTTTTTCTTTTCTTTCTTTCTTTCTTTCTTGCTTCCTTCTCTCTTATTATCGATCTCGAGCGGACGCGCTCTCGGAATTACGAGCATCGTTTTCCACTCTCTTCCGGTTTCCTTTGTCTCCTCTCCTTCGTCTCTTTTTAATGCGCTATACTCTAGCCCCCCCCCCGTCCGCGCGGAATATCATGCGTTTTGTCCGAAAGGGTATCGCGCGGCGGGAGGTAGACGAGGAATTTCCCTTCAATCGACTTTAAGTGACACGACACACGATTTCACCCCCGCTCGTGTGTACCCGACGAAAGAATAATTGGACGGCATCTGTCCGCGAAGTGCTCGCGCGCTCGGCGCTGGGAACCGAGCGCCGAGCTCGAGCGTCTCGCGAAATATATCGTAACCGAACGTAAGAAACGAGACGGAGGATTGCGACAGAGTCAGCGAAGGATGAAATGATTCGAGAGATGGCGAGTAGTAGGAACAAAGTGGCGTACCTCGGGAGGGAGAGTTAGTGGCGAAAAAACGCTCTTCCTTCTCGCGTCCCCTTTCTCTTTCCCACTTTGATCCCTTTGTCGCAAAACTGCGCGTAATGAATTACAGCCGAAAAGAACACACCGTTCCGCGTTGACGCGTGTCGTTGACCGTCTTTCTCTCGTTTCGCCGACTCGCTGTATCGGGCGTTTTCGCGAAACGTACGGCGCAGGCAACAACAAATTCGCGCCCCTCTGAGGAAAGGATGAAGAGGATACGCGAGAGATGTTGAGAGTAGAAGCGAGCGGCGAAGGCTTGCGCACGATTTTCATCCGCCGCGTAATCCCCTCCCCGTGAGCGCCCAGTAATATTCATAAGCGCGTGAGGAAACATGAGAGAGAGAGAGAGAGAGAGAGAGAGAGAGAGAGACCTCACTTCGGTAACGACGGGTTCCGAGTAGCGCCAATTGCTGGGCGAGTGCAAAAGTTTTGATGGACGTCGTGATAGAAGCACGCATGTGGACTAAGTTTTTTTTTCATCAAGGAAGATTTATTCATTCTACCGAGTAATCGCCATTATTTTCTATTATCCTCTGGTATATATCATACATCTACATGTGTTTGCAAGTGCTGCCGCGAAGCCGGACCATTCGTGACATCTTTGAAAGACTCGTCGAAACTCTTGCACTCTTGTAAATTTCACGAGTATTCAGAAGTAAGAACAGAGTAAGAAGGTGTCGATGGAGAGCAATTGTCGTATTATCGAGCTCGCCTCTCGGCGAGAAATGAATTTGCAACAATTTGACATTTATGCGATCGTGCGCGACAAGTCAACCGTGCGCTCTCACGACTCGCAACGCGGCTCAGACCGATTCGCGACGTTTCCGTCTTGCTCTCTAGTCACAGTGTGTAACACCCGTTTCAGCATTTAATGCGAAACGTTCTCTACGAGAACGTCGAAATCCATCGTACACGATTTCGTCCAGCAGCGCCGCTCGGCGTATACCATCCCTCGTGCATTTTCGATTTTCTGCTTCTACCAACCGAAACGTATCGATACGCACAAACGTCGTCTCTGAAAAATTAACGGTTTCGCCAGTCTCGCGAGCTCGTGATACCTGCTCGTTAAGAACAACGGACGAAAGGAGGAACGACAGGGGGGTTTCTGAGATGAGAGAGGAGGAAAAGGCCAAAGCGAGTCCATCGTATCGACAGAAAACGGACAAACGAAATAACTCAACATCACATGTCGAGAAACACTCCTTCGCCTTTATTATAACGTGACAGTTCATTAAACGAAATAATAATAATATTATTAATAAAATAATAATAATAATAATAATAATAATAATAATAATAATTAATAATAATATAATCAATGAAACTAAGGATAGGCAAAAGAAATCACATTTAAAGCGCGGGGTCGGTAGAGTTGATGTCTATCTCGTCTTTTACATCTGTCCTTTGTAATCGCGCGAAATTTCGCGGTTTCACTCCCTACGTGCCCAAGTGCGACGAAACGATGGACAACCTACAGTCGATTTTCTCGCATTTCCTCGCGCATCAGTCGATTCATACACTTGATACCGGGCGTTTTTCCTTGTCCCGTTGTCACCCTGTCAGAACGCGTGTACAATGTTGTAGCTGTCGGTGTGTATTTAGCCGCGCGCGCGTACGCGTTCTATTCTTTTTGTCCGTGTGTTCTCCTTTCGTCTCACCACTTTTGGGACGCTCCGAGTAACGGCGGGTAACATGCCGTATCCGCAAAAGGAATCCGGTCAGCAAGAAATTGATATACCTCGGACGTTCTTTCATACCTTTTTATTACCCCTCGCCCCTTCTCTCTTATTCATTGCCTTATTATCATCTTATACAATAACAACATAATAGTTTTAAACATCTTGAGCATAGGTGAGGCGCGGACGCGCGTGGCTTCTACGGGGTTCGTACTCTCTCGTCGTCGACCGAATTCTCATCGTGACTCTCTCCGTACGGCTCTCCCCTCGGCGGAAGAACCGGAAACAAATCACAGATTAGTGCGTCGTCTCTCTCTCTCTCTCTCTCTCTCTCTCTCTCTCTCTCTCTCTCTCTCTCTCTCTCTCTCTCTCTCTCTCTCTCTCTCTCTCTCTCTCTCTCTCTCTCTCTCTATGTCTCTCACTTCTTACTTCCCACTTCGCTCCCCTTTCTCCTATATAAAATCTACGTCGACACTTACGGAAATAAAAGCAGAAGAATACAGTTAAAAGATACAAAACTCAACGATCAAGTTCTATATTCCACGTAAATAACATAATAAACTCGATTAAGCGCGGTTAGATAGGAACCCCGTAGGAGAGAGCACGTCCGACGCCGTAACAACAAATTATCTACAATATTTCGCATATATTTGTTTACTTTTTCGTTCCCTCTCTCTCTCTCTCTCTCTCTCTTTCTCTCCCTCTCTTCTTCTTTCTTTCTTCCTCTCTTTCGCTACGTTTCTTCCTTTCCTCTCCCTTGCGTGCGTACGCACAACAGATTACATAAGATTACTTAGAATATTAGATAAGGTACTTAGAATATCTTCATTATTAAAGTCTATGTTTTTTCTTTACCTTACACACCTACTAAATGTCGATCAAAGTATTAATCAACTAATAGTAACATAATAATAATAATAATAATAATAATAATAATAATAATAAGAATAAAAGAATAATAAGAATAAAAATAATAATGATGATGATAACGACAATAATAACCCAAGTAAGAAAAAACACAATAATAATAATGATAATGATGCGCCGACGACAATGACGATGGTGCCCGTGAGATAACAACCATTTCCTCATTTGTGCATTTGTGTATGTACATGCATGTGTTCACGAATTCCTTAGTGTATGCATACCATATTCACCAATTTCCTTAATATATGCGCATACTTATTGCATTTATTTATACAGCAACGATATACACAAGCAAGGTCTCCGTGCGGCTCTCTTCAAGTGTGTGCGTGACACTTTTATACTTTGCACGTGTCGCGCGTACTCAGTTATATCAGTCAGTCTTCGCGAGCGACCCGAATCGATCTCGATTGTCCGCGCGAAATTGGAAACGGCCGGTTACAACGACGACGATTTTTTAGGACATTCAAACGATTCCCTTGCTCGCACAACAATTCGGAGAATGTTGTAAGCGGCTTGTTCCGCACGACGATCCGCAGCGTTTAAGCGACATTTTTTTCCGCACGCTGTATTCGACCAAAAAGCTAAGCAACTCCAGTTACATTCCGCATAATAATAACAAGATTGACTCGATGTAGTTTCCGAGAGCCGCCGACCGTCAACTCTCTCGGCGCGAACCGAGCTTTGATCCGACCGAGAGTCGGCTCGCGAATCGATACGATCGGACCGCCGCGCCGCGCGCCGATAGTCTGTGCGATGATCGCGCGGTGGCAAGTTACGCGTTTCGTTATGCCGTCTCAGCTGTGAAAATCCAATTTCTCTAGCCGCACAATCGATTTACCGGACTCTCTCAGATTCTCCACGCTTCTCGGCGCGGCTGCGTTCTCGCCGGTGATCGTGCGTGCCAATTACGAGCGAGAAAGTTCCATCCAATACGCATTCGTCCCGATGTAATCCTACGATCTGACGCCGGCCGTTTAGGAGTGACGTCCGAATGATAAAGTGGAGCACGATCGTGGATTAACTTGTGTTCCATGTGTGGACGATACACTTTCATGATGCTAGAAAGCGTGGCCTCCGCGACGACGATCCCCGGCGACGGACGAACGTGGGCCGACCGACTCCGCGTTTACTGGCCGTTTATCGATCAATCGGTCCGAGAGTGTTGCCCGCCGACGGATATCGAAGTAATTTCCCGCTGATAGAACGGCTAATGATTTCCATCCTCGTGGGCCGATATAATGCCGCGGAGTCATCCCGCAGAAATGTACTCGAAAGCGTGTCGGGGGTTGGGGCGGCCGCGTCTCTCTCTCTCTTCGACGTGTCTTCTGTGTCATTCGGTGTTCGACGATTGAGGCGTGCGTCGTCGACCGCGCTGCTTTTCACGTTCGTAATCGCGAATTCGACGGATTATCCTCAAGTTCAACTTGATTACGCGCGCGACTCCCTCTTTCACGCTCCATCGCCCACTCCTCCATCTTCTTTTCTTTCGCGTGTTTTCTCTCGCTTACGTTACTCATTTCCCCGTACACGTCGAGAGTGCTTTTCTAAGGAGCACCTCGAGGCTACGTCCCGGTGAACGTCATCGGGACGTAATATTCCTACTTCGAGACGCGCCGCGCATTTCCAACGGGGATCCCCTCGCGAGACCAAGTAGACTCCGAACTTGTGTGCTTGAGCGAGAAATTTTTATCGACTTGATTTTACGATACATCGCCTACATGGCGCGTACGACGAGGTTAAACGAGAAATTTAATCGAGTGGATTTTACACGGTCTCTTCTCTCGTTTCTGAGAAACCGCGCGCTCGCAGAAATGTTTTTTTCTTTTTTTTTTTTTTCACTACGCACTTGTCTAACGAGAGAGGCGGCGCGCGATGGTTTTCATCGATATAATGAAACTGTAAAGTTATACTTTTTTTTTACACGGTCGAATTTCATCGAGAGCATGTATGGCTTGCGAGATTCCCGTCGCGGATTTTAAGTTTCTCGTTACGCTGCGGCCTGCGACTTGGGTTTTAATTAATTTAAGATTTCGCCGCGGCCAGCCGACAAACAGATCGTCTTTGGCGGACAAATAAGCCGAGGGAGAATGCACAACGTTGGAATTTAGCCGACGAAAGTAGAGATTGTACGCGATGGGACGAGATAAATGCGAATATCGTGTCGTAATGAACTCGAGAGGAACGCATAAGGGAACGTAGGTATTACGAACAGACCGGGTAGGAAAAGTATTGCAGGACGCAATTGCGCGGAGATATCAGTGATAAAACAAAGCAGAGAGGAAACCAGTGAAAAAGTGCAAGACGGGCATATAAAGAGACGCAGACACACACACACACACACACACGCGCGTGCGCGCGCGAAATATATAGGAATATATACATACACATATACACACGCGGCACACGCAAAGCAAAAAAGCGGCACGTACACTTTGAAAAAGCCGCACGGAGAGCCCTTTGTAGACAGACGCTACACAAATGAATACAACAAGTACGTGCATATATTAAGAAATTCATGAATATGTGCACAAATACATGCACAGATGCACAAATAAAGAAATGATTATCGCCTCACCGGTCGTCGTTATCATCGGTACGCCATTATTATATATTACTATTGTCATTACTATTATATCGCTCCTACTTGGGTTATTGTTATTATTATTGCCATTATTACTATTATTTAAAGCGAAATGAGTTACATCGAGTGGTCATTGCTGCGTCGAAATGTCGTTAATTTCGCTCGCGGACCGGTCACTCGCTCGCCCGGATTTCTTCGTTCCAACGCGGCAACGCGGAGCCTAAAGAACAAAGTTTCAAGTCGAAAATCTGCCCCCGAGTGCACAACGGCCGGTTCCTCCCCGTTGGCGGCCGACGTAGCCATGATAAAACAAGTGAGTCAGATTTACACGCGCGATCGAAACAAAGTCCAAGGACCAAGGACCGTATTTGTCGCAGCCGCTGCTTGAGTTTCCTCGCATATACGTCAGACACTCGGGTCTGGATTTAGAATTAGACTCGAGCTTCTCAGCTTTGGAGATCGTACGAGACTGCACACCGTCGACTGAAAAATCAAACCCCAAACCAATCCAACCCCAGGCCAGAAACACAGGTTCCAAGCAACGACCTAATAAATACGAGTCTAACTAAGGGAGGAGGAGAAAAGACGAGAGAAGGGGAGTAACACTAAGAAAAAAGAAGAAGATAAAAAAAAAAACACTAAAAAAGAAAAGGGGAGAGAGATGTAGGTTCTCTCGAAAACTGTCTACATCTTCGAGCGCACATCTCCAATCGATCTCGCCTCGCATTTCTTACCTATTTCCTAGTGTGTCGGTATTCATCGTGCGCGTTTCCCCATCGGTAGATCACGACGAGAGAGATCTTCTCCGTCACTCTTGCATATACCCGTGTATGTGTGCGCACGCGCGCAATACGCGAAACAAAGTTGATAAACACCAGCGAGCACTACCGAAAGTCTCGAGGGTCTCGTTTTCTGTGAAGCTCGCACGGGCGAATTCGCGCACGTCACCACGTGGAAAATAAATTAGACGGATAAAATAAGAGATCACGGAGACGGGAGGCGGGGTAGGGCGATGACAATCGAACAGTGAGAGGAGCGACGAAGGGAGAAAAGGAGCGGAGGAGGAGAAGAAGGAAGGAGGTGGATAACGAGAGGCGGGGAAAGGGAGGTGAGAGAATAGCGAGCGTGAATCGCGTCGTGTCGTCATGGAAAGCAGAAGAAAAAAAAAAAAGAAAAAAGGGAGAAGCGCGATGAGGTGGAGAGGGCGAAACTATAAAGGAGATTGAGAGCCTAGTGGAAAACGAGTGCTTTATTAAGCTAATCTCCAAGACCGACCGGAGTTACTGCTTTTCCTTGAGACCACCCAGCAGCGCGTGACTCTCCATCGTGGCACTGAGATTGCTAAGATTGCTGAGATTCCCCAGATTGCCCAGGTTGCCGAGGTTGCCGAGGTTCGGCTGATGGGCATAGTTCCTGATCTGGTGGAGGCTGATGAGCTGGTTCGGGAAGGACGTGGCGTTCTGGTTGCTGGCGGTGCCGGGCGTCACGCCGGACGACGAGGACGTCGGCGACGACTTCTGCGTGGTGTTGAACGCCTCGTAGAGGTACGGTCGCGACGCCGGATGGTGGCCACCGGGATAGTGCAGGTGGTTGAGGGGGTTGAGGGGGTGTTGCATGGAGGAGATCGAGTTGATCGAGATCGAGGAGATGGGCGTGAAGGCCGAGCTGCTGTTGGGGTGATGATTCGCGCCTGGCTGCGGCGTCTGTTGCCTCGAGTCGTTCTCGATCGACTCGCCGCGGTGGCCCGGCCCGTGGCCCGGCAGCAACATCTCCGGATTCTGGTTCTGGTGATACTCGGGGTGGTGATGATGCGGCAGCCTCTCGTGCAGGTCGCCGATGACCGAGTCCGGGCTGACCTTCGGCCAGTAGTCCTGGTGATGGGCGGTCATCGCGTGTATCGACGGCCTGAGACCGGTGCCGATGATCGGCGGTCTCTTGTCGGTACGCTCGGCGTGCTTCTGCATGTGCTTGGCCAGATAGGTCTCCTGCGTGTAACTCTTGCCGCAGTACTGGCAGATGTGCGTCTTGAGGTGCTTCGACTCCTTGTGCTTCGGTATGTGCTCGAGCAGACTCGGCTCGTCGGAGAAGCACTTGTAGCAGGAGTTACACTTGTACGGCTTGTCGGTTTGGTGGCACCGGGAATGGCTCTGCAGGTTGCTCAATTGGCTGAACGCCTTCGTGCAGCCCGGATGCCGACACTTGTATGGCTTGTCGCCGGTGTGCGTGCGAATGTGCTGCTGTAGGTGGCTTAGCTGGGTGAACTTCCGCTGGCAGATCTCACAGCGGTACGGCTTAATGCCCAGGTGGATCCTCGTGTGCTGAGACAGGTACGAGGAGTTGGCGAACGCCTTGGAGCACTGCGTGCACTTGTACGGCTTCGCCTCGCGCATGTGGATCTGTGTGTGGAGTTGCAGGTCCGCCTTGCTACCGAATATCTGCAACAAGAAAACGGACGCTTTGCTATCTCAGAGAGAAAGAAAGAGACAAATATAACACGGACGGAGAAGATGTAAAACGAACGAGACAGACGACGACGACGACGACGACGGCGACGGCGATCAGAGAAACGCGTTTCGACTTCCGGTAACTCGCCACCGGCAGACGGATTCAATCGATCTTCGCCTATTCAAAATGCAAATTCGGCAACCTCCGCACACGCTCGTCGGGCATGACGCGGCAACGGAAACGTCCTACTCCGAATCGGCGAGTCATGTGTCTCACGACGATGTCCGAACAGAAAACTTCGATACGGCGCGATTACGGCAAAGCCCGGATCCGGTTCGCGCCAATCTCCATTGCGCGAGCGCACGCGCGACGTTCGTTTCCCTCTCGTTTCCAGCGGCACACCGGCACGCCGGCACCGGTCAGCCACGTTTCAAGCATAGGCGCCACTATATTTATAAATAAATAAATAAACGTAAAAGGGAGCACCGGCGCACACAGCGCCGGTAGCCCGAACATATGTATATACGAGGCGGGGAGAGGCTGACCTTGTCTATCATGGCCTAGCCTCGGGGCATACCCGACCGACTGGCTTCGGGTACCGCATACAGATCCCCCCTCCGCGTACGCTCGCTCTTTCTCTCCTTCGCCTCTTCGTTTTGTCTCTTCCTTTATCCCCCTTCGTTCCCAGTCCTCTTCCTCTCGCCGCTGCCCCTCTCTCTCTCTCTCTCTCTCTCTCTCTCTCTCTCTCTCTCTCTCTCTCTCTCTCTCTCTCTCTCTCTCTCCCTCCCTCCCTCCTAGAGTTTCACGCGCACGTTAGTTTCTAGTTTCTCTCTCTGGTCTCTCTCTCTCTCTCTCTCTCTCTCTCTCTCTCTCTCTCTCTCGCTCGAAGATTTTTTTTCCACGTCTTTTCACGGCAGCGGCGGAATAGGCCGTGCGGCGACCAGAGCACAGTCATCGCGACGATCGGCGATTATTAGCGCCTGTCCTTCCCGATATCCTCGAGGATGTAGCTCGCGCGAGACGCGCGACCGTTCTCTTATCGCCGACGTATCGCGCCTGCATCCGTGGAGCGCGAATATTTTAGTATATTAATCGCGATCACACACGGGAACGGCATGCGCGCGCGTGTGTCCGTCATTACCCGGCGGACATCGAATAACTGTCTGGCTGATCGAGCCTCTTCCGCCTGAAGTTTCCTTTGATCGTTGTCGACTTTCTCGAGATACACGGCCGTAAATTAAAATTTTTTTCACTGCGTCTCGACGTCTTCATTTGCGCGGCCGGCGCAATGTCGCCTCCCTCCCCCCCCCCCTCGACTAAATACTAACGTCGTCCACGGAGATAATCGGCGCGTCTATCCCGCTATTTTCGAGCCGCACACGCATGTGTGTGTGTGTGTGTGTGTGTGTGTGTGTGTGTGTGTGTGTGTGTGTAGTTCCTGCTTTCTTTCGAAAAAATTCCCGCCTCCCCCCTCTTCCGCCGCGCTACGGCGGGTCGCGCTAATACCGCTAAAACGTCTCATTCATCCGTAATAACGCGCGCGCATCATTACCGAATAATAACGCCGGTCACGAGATTCGTGATACCGGCCGCGTGGTGGTAACGATCGCGCGGCGGGTATTTGGCTTCGTGGAAAGGGCAGCGAATTGTCTTCCGACGGCGGAGACGGCGGCCGAAGGGTATCGCACCGACCGGAATGACGTGTCGGCCGGAGTCGAAGAAACGATCTTGGACACGCGAAGAACCGTCGTGAACGGAGCCAGTTTCCCGGCAGCGCGCTCCGTTCGGCCGAGGTTATTACGTAAAACGACGGGTTCCTCGGCGAGATAGTTGTGCGCCACGCCCGAGGATCTAGGGCGATTCGGGTCCTCTTCGCACGGCAAGGGTACGAGGAGGGATGACTCCCTCGTTACCGCGCGGGGGAACTCGTTATCTCCTTCCCGGGCAGCTCTCTCGGCGCGCGCGTTCCTCGCCGTCGTACTTCACAGCTCGACCGGACAAAAATACGCCACGAAACGACACGAAGACCGGGACTCGCGATCGGCTGGATTATTAAGCGACGATCGAAGCCGCGGATCGAGCTCGTTGCGAGCTTGCGGGGGAGCTTGCTCTGCCGAGCGGCCGCTGCTGTTCGTGTGAATTCTCACTCGCGAATCGCGAAGTTGCTCTTGACCCCGTTAATTACGCCAATCCTCTGAGCGCGTCGGGAACCTGCGCGACAGCGCAATTTTTTGTACGTGGAATTTGAAACTCGCTCGACCGGCCGTCGTGACGTCAGCCACGTGACAGGAAGGCGACACACGTGGCGTCGTGTCTCGATTATTCCGGAGATTCGCGTCGTATTCTGAATTTTATATTTCATTTCCCAGCTCCACGTGACAGTGTGTGTGTGAGAGAGTGCGTGTATTTAACGGAGGTAGGAGTCGCGATAATCTAGGCACATCAACGACCGGCTAGCTAACGATCGCTTTACGGTTGTCGCGGATCGTGATTTATTCGGTAATCGATCGACGGTCTCGCTCGAGGCATCATCGGCTGACTTGGCGCGTCCTTTAATGGGTTGGAGCTGCCATTTTTTTTTTATTTCCTCCTTTCGAAACGCGTCCTTGCCGGTGTCAAGTTCGCGCATAGTCCACGTAACACGATAGTCTGCCGGCGCGTCGTTTTTTCGTTTCTTTAGCGCGCCAGGCAAATGGGAGAATCTGAGGGACACGGGAACAATTAGAGAAGACGAGAGAGCGGACGAGCGCAAGAGGGAAGTATTTACGTTATCGAGGTATAAGTTATCGGGGATCGCGTAATGACGTATTTTCCGCCGCGATCTCGTTAGTTCGCGCGTCTCTCTCTCTCTCTCTTTTTTCCTCCTTTTCGCAGAGGAGAGCGCGCGTTACGGTAATTTTGTAATTCCACCTGCGAGGCAATACTGAGACGTTAATTCCCCCGGAATACCGGCTTTCGCGCGCGGGAAGGTCGACAAACTTAAAAATATTTCTCGCTTCGGGCATCCACTGTCTTCGCCGTAAACTATTAGGCTCGATGGAATGAGCGATTAGCACAGCTAAAGGCTTCCTGTTGCCGGTTGGTGCTGCGTCGTTTCGCCGAATACGAATCACGCCAGCTGTTATCAATGAATCAGCAAATCGATACGGCTAATTGATAGGAGATCTCCGAGCGGCCGGTCCTTCGACTTGGAAATTCGTTAAATATTATTTAACGAATCGCGATATTCGCTCGCGATAAGGCTCGGCTTATTTCTCCGTCTCTCTCTCTCTCTCTCTCTCTCTCTCTCTCTCTCTCTCTCTCTCTGTCCCGCGACTAATCGCGAGTAGGAAACCGCAAATGAGGCACACGCGAGACCGTGACGTGTAGAAAAAGTGACGGCTGCGAGAATTCGGTTGGTCTCCAAATTAAATTTCACCTCCTCCCTCCCTCTCTCTCTCTCTCTCTCCTTGATTCGTCGTATTTAATTGCAAAATGTCTGAAAGAATCGTGGAAGAGCGCGAGCGCGCTCGCTGATTGGCAGATTGAATGCTCGCGTACAAAGCTCTCCGCGGCCGTGCGCGCGAAAACTTGGAGGAGATTTCTCGTTCACAACGGACTTGATTCAATTAAAGAATTTCTCGATACGAATCGCGCGACGGCGCCAAATAAAAATTGGCGGTCGTAATTGACAGGATGCACTTAAACGACTGCCGCGCGGAGACGCGGCGGCGACTTATTCGAGCGGATTTGAAGGAAATTCCGAGAGTTATGTGTTTAACCGTCCGTAATGCGAGCACGCCGGCAAAACGACGCTATGCGACGCGACGGCTCGAAGTAGTCCCACTGAATTAAACCGGACAGCCGGAATCTCACGCCTTTCTTTCTTTCTTTCTTTCTCTCTCTCTCTCTCTCTCTCTCTCTCTCTCTCCCTCTCTCTCTCTCTCTCTCTCTCTCTCTCTCTCTCTCTCTCTCTCTCTCTCTCTCAGTTTCTGTCTACCGTTCCCGCTCCCGTTCCCTCTCTCTCTCTCTCTCGCTCTCTCTCGCTCTCTCTCTCTCTCTCTCTGCCTGTCTCCCTCTCTCAAGCAAGATGCGCCTTCAAGAAAAATAATGGCGATAAATCCAGAAATTACGTCGGCCTGGACTGCGCGCAGGTATGCGAAATTAGCGCCTCTAATTACGAAACCGGCGAGGAACTATGCCCGCTGGGCAACCAGCTAGTCCTCCTGTCATTTCTGATTAATCGACGTCGATTTACTTAGGCAATACTTAAGAAGCCGAGACGAAGTACATTTGCCGTGACGCAGCCACGGTGTATAAATCGTACGCTCGTCCGGGATCATCATCAGGGGGAATTTAGAAGCGCGGGTAGGCTGCACCGTGTTAAATTCTCAAATAGGAATTAACATTTTCAGCGTTGTTGTTGATCTTAATGACCGGTGAGCCTCGTCTCTCTCTCTCTCTCTCTCTCTCTCTCTCTCTCTCTCTCTCTCTCTCGACTCGATGTGTGTGCCCAGTGCGTTACCGTGTTAAATTCGTTTCCTCCGCGCGGGCGAGTGCGAGCGCGCGAACCTTTTGACGGAGCGGTGATTAATTACCGTGTTGCTCTCCGTTTTGTATCAATGCCGATCAATTGATACACATACATACATACATACTTTTATATAAATATATATATATTTATTATTTATTTCACATCTGTCTGTCTCGAGTCGACGAGCTGACGCGCGGAGCATTTCGTCATTCGATACCGTTTATAGAGCTATACTTGGTGATGGATGATGACCATCTTTCGCGTTCTGCGGGCCCACATCGCGCGCGTATGTACATTCCGCCGCTCGTCTCGTCGTCCCGTTCTTTTACCTTCGCGAGAAGTAGTCTACGGAGTAGCCCCGGGCCAGATCTCGTAAATTCAATTTAAATATTTCGGCCTTAATGACCGAGCGAGGTGCGCGCTCGTGCACAAGAGCCGAACACCGCGAGGAGGAAGAAGACGACGCGAGACGGCCAG